AACTTAACTTCTGTCCCAGATTAGTCATCACATTTGTATATCTTTAATCCGATTATTAATACATTTCATTTAATTTCACTTTATTTAATGTCTAGATATTTAATAAAGACAGTAGGTTTCACAATCAGTTGTCTTTGACATCAAATTTATAGATAACTTAACCTTAAACTCCATCCCAGATTAGTCATCACATTTGTATATCTTTAATCCGATTATTAATACATTTCATTTAAGTTCACTTTATTTAATATCTAAATATTTAGTAAAGACAGTAGGTTACTACATTTCTGAATCAGTTGTCTTTGGCATCAAATTTATATATTATCACAATTATCTTTGGTCCGATTATTGATATGGTTCACTTTATTTGATGTCTAAATATTTGGTAAAAAAAGGCAGTACTACGTTACTATGTTTATTAACCAACTAAAAAAAAAATCATTCATTCATTTATGTATTAAAGTAAGCTGGTTTCAGAACAATAATTTAACATGTTCAAAAGTAGATTAACTCGTAGAAGATAATCCATATGAACAAGATGAAAAACTTAAACGTAAAAATCACTGTATAATATTACATATGATACTGAGGCTGTAATTAATACCAAAAACTGTTCAAATATTATTCAAGGTTAAATTATTGTGAAAGATTTTAAATCGTTTAAATAAAGAAGTTTTCCATTTTCCACAAACTTTGTTTACATGTAAATCTAAAGCCGTAATTAATGCCAAAAACTGTTTAAATGTTACTCAAGGTTAAGATTGAATTATTAAGAACTATCCGGTGGACAACAGTTACACAATAAATGTGACAATTACGTAATTTGAAATTAATTTGGAATATTTTTTTAGCACACCGAGAATAAATTACTTGTTTTAATCCCTTTAACATGTTAAGCTCGTTTGCATTAGTCGTGTAATCGATACTATCTGAAACGCGATCTTTATTTTGCGGTATCTAGGATCTACGATGAATCGTAGCCGACGGCTCGCTTGATTTTTCCGTCGTTCAGCCCCGACAGAAAATCGCGATTTATTAGCGTCGGACGTCGTCGCTAAGGAGGATAGGTTACGTTTAATAGGGACAAAGAAAAATCGTCTGGAGCGTTATGAGATGCTCAATAAATCGGAAGAGGAATTGTAATCACCGGGAAAATCGTGAAAGCGGTCTCGCAGAAAGGGCATTCGATTAATTAATTGACGTAGGGCGGCCGGCTCTTCTACGCCATCGGCGACGCAGCGAGCTTCGATTCTTTTTATTATTTTCCCTTTTCTTCGACTCGTCTACTTACCTTGCACAGAACAAAACGGGAGGGAGGGGTTGCTGCAGCGGCTGCTTTTAAACGGATAAAGACATCGCGTCGCTGTGGTCTTCGGAGACGGTTTAAGCCAATTTACCCCGGTCCTATAAATCTTCTTTCCCTCCATCTTATCTGTTCCATCATATTTCCTCTCCTTCTTCTTCTTCTCTTCCATTCCCCTTTCCCTTGTCCTCACAAATCACACACAGTCTATCTTCGAACATAGCTCGTTTGCCTCCCAATAATTTAACTCATGATTCATATCTTGCAATTCAACTTGCTCGAGAAAGGTTAGGCTCGAGATAGTCTGTTCCAAAATTCTGTAGCTGAGCACAAAGTGTCTGCTATCTGTATGTGAATGTAAGAAATGTTACAGCTCAGTATGATATTTGTTCAAAGTTTTAAATATCTTTTTTAATAAAATGAATGTGCATGACGAATTTACAGGTACATAAAATTTACTTATTAACTTACAGTAACATTTTTACACATTTTACACAACAATTTGTGCGATATTTATTAACAACTTGAAATATAAAATATATTAACAAATGAAAACATAAGTAACAGTTTAACAAGTTTAGCCCTCTGCACTCTGAATTATTTTTCAGTTATTATTTTTTTTAGCAATTTAAAAATGTCGAGTGTGACTCGACACATGAGAGTTTTTGTGATAAAAACTGATGTCAGAAAGGAGTGCAAAAGGTTAATATCATTTAATATTTAATAATGCCATCTGGTGAATGTAAGTTTTATGGCTGAGAGTGGCGCCAATTTTGAAATGACGTAGGACCACGTTGCCCAAGTATTATCTATTCTAGGAGTTGCTAATCTTTTTTTCTGCTCACCCTGTATTTGACTTCCAATTCCATTTGGCCAAAGTTCCCCCCTCCTCCTTTTAAAAATACGTTGAAACGACTCGATGGCACTTGGCAGTTAGGCAACAACAGCGATCCTCTTTCGACGATTGTGCAACGTTTTTTGAACAGCGTTTGTAACCTAACATGCGCAGGGAAAACAAAAACTAAGCGGAAGAAACGTGCGCTTGACGCATCCAACGAGCGTTTGACGTCGGCCGGGAAAAGTCATTTCACGAGCCGGGAGTTCATTCGGGAATTAATTACGGCTCCCCGTGGAGCAGCGCGTGCCGCGGGATTGCCTTTTGATACATATTTGGAGTAAGGATCCCCCATACAGTGGTCGAAACATACAGCGAGGAGCACATAACTGAACACACAATGATGAAAAATTGTTACAAGTTAATATGCTTTAATGTACTTTTATTATACTTTCTTGTTATTATAAGAAGTATAAATTGTTATAAGAATTCGTGGAAGAAAATCGTATAACAATCAATCTAATTTTCTTTGGTCATATTTTAAAGCGCAAAATTTTATATAATATATATATATATGATAATGTTTATTGATAATTTTAATATAATACTGATCAATATTAATTTTATTATTAATATTAATTTTTCACATAATACTTTCTCTACGTTAGCATATCGAAAATACGATACTTAACCTCTTGGGCTAGTAACTGATGGTTTGCGGACCATAACGAGTGACCAAACCGTCATACAATGACTCGTCTTCTTTTTGAATTCATCGGTATATATCACTAGATAGAAATTACTAAGAAGCAATAAATTTATTATTTGTTCTGCCTGGGTTATATTTCAATACACTTAAAACTGAGAAAGTATTGCAATTTTGGGCCAAATATTCTCTACGCTGGTGTGATCTGATTTGAACTGCACCCTTCATACCGACGCCACTGGCAATCATTTCATGACGTGAATTATGATCGCGAATGTTGTGATTAGATGTTCGTTGTTGTTTTACGTATGTTGCGTGTCTTACGTATGAACAAAACACTCAACTATGACAGTAGGACGATTCGACGACGTTACACGCTTGGAACGACAAACGCGGATCGTATGTTCGCGGGCGAATGGAAATAATCCACGATCTACCCCAAATACGTTGAATCGTTTAAGTTTCAACGTCTCCTGCGGAGAATGCGCGCCATCCAATTTAAACTTGTCGTTCGACTTACTCGGAATCAAGAATGTGTTAATTTCAATTAAGGTCGACGATGATGAAAGCAGTATTCTATATCTTCTTTGTTGCGACGTTAACGACGTTAACTACAAAACAATACATATTTTGCTTTCTTTCGTATTCTACATACAAACACTCGATAAAAATATTTTATCTCAATGTTAAAAATCCACACGTGCGTTCAGTTTTGCTCGTCGCTCGTACAACGTTGGTACAGGATTCGACGCGTTACTTGGGAACTTTCCGTGATTCCATCAAGTGGGAGCAACTCGAAACCACTCGGGTAAAACCTCTTTGTGCTTGCTTATCGTGGTAAGAGTCGAAGTACACACTGTAGGATAACCATAACCTGTTCTACGTCGCATCCATCTCCGCCGTCACTCTCGCTCGGATCGTGTTCCGTTGCTTTAGACGAATAACAGACGGCTTTCGAGACAGAGTCAATTTAGCCGGCAAATACGAATCACTTTCGCCCCGCCCCCTTCCCCCACTCCTATCTTAAACGAGGGAACACGGATGGAAAGAAAGAGCCACGGATTGACAACAGTGTAGCTAAAGTCAACGAAGTAGATTCGTTTGACTGTGCGATTTTAAGGAAGAATCGCTAAAGGCGAGAGCGGACGACAAAGAAGGACGATCCCGCTGATCCAGGTCGAATACAACGAGCCACTCTTTGCACAAGGGCTCTACTTGCCGCAACCCTGCTCAGCATCTTTTCAGATTCTCTGCCGCGAGATTGTCCGACTAAAAACCGACCGTACTACTCGAGTCGGGCTACTTCGTTCGCAGTGGTGCGACCGTTTCGAAACACCGACGCACCGCACTCTTCCGACAACGTTACGGCCTAACTGATACTGGAGACGTTACGAACTGTCCGGTATCCGAACATCTCGTGAAATAGTTGAAACTATATATTATTTCTATTTATATTACTCGGATGTCTACGTTTTTGTTTTTATTCTAGCGATAAATAATGAAACAGCGAAGCAATTGTTTTCAATTAGATGTCTGTACAAACGTACTAGTAAGTCTGCATTTTTTTAACAGTAAGTTCAGGTTAAGCAACTCGTCTAACTCTTTGAGGTTAGATGGGTTTGAAATTGTCCCACATATTTTTTGTCAGTTAATGGACGGTGAGATATTTTTTAACCCACTTTGTGTTGGAAAAAAGATGTGTTTCATTTAAAATATCAGTGGCATGGTGGGATTCACGTCTCACTCTGTAATAAAGAATTTATTTAAGTATTACTTTCTTTTCATTTTAAGAAATATTTATGTTTAATAATTGAAATAAACGTTTTTTTCCTTTCTTTTTTTATATTAAAAAAATTCCGTGCATTTAAAGTTGCGTGCCTCTAAGGGCTAATAGATTAGGTTAAAGGAGCCAACAATATTTCCAGTTGTGGAAGGTATTCTTCCAAAACTTGCCAGTTATTGCTGGTGTACATAAATATCTTTTAGCAAGTTTTACCAATCTTGGATATCTTTTTCCTTCGATTCTCTATTATTCTAACGGGAGTAAATTGTGATTGAATCTTTGTTTTACTACTTGTCACAAAGACACAAATAACTCCAACACTCAATTATCTCCTAACCGGCGGAGAAGCTAATTGCAAACACGTTTGCTTCAGGACTGGTCAAGCTTGGGGTTCACTGCGTGTTGGGCAAGAAGGTGGCGATCAAAATCATCAACAGGGAAAAGCTGTCAGAGTCTGTGCTGATGAAAGTAGAACGGGAGATCGCGATTATGAAACTGATCGACCATCCTCACGTTCTCGGCCTCTCGGACGTATACGAGAACAAGAAATATCTGTGAGTATGTAAAACAGAAAGAGAAAGAGAGAGAAAGAGAGAGCGAGCAGAAATCCACGCGCTAGACAAAAAGTGTTTTACTCACAGGACCCATTCAGAGATGGCGGAGAGGAGAATGCACGCTGGAAAAAAGAAAAACTGAATTGCTCTTGTCCGTTTCAGGTATCTTGTTCTGGAACACGTATCGGGCGGGGAGCTTTTCGATTACCTAGTGAAGAAGGGCCGACTAACGCCGAAGGAAGCGAGGAGATTTTTTCGACAAATCATTTCTGCGTTAGATTTTTGTCATAGCCATAGTATATGGTGAGTAGCGTGAACTTCCTCACGTCAGAACTAATATAGCACGTTTGCAACATTTCAATGACGCGTGGTCAAAGTCACGCGAGATCTCGCGTGACGAAAAATTTTGATTGGCGAACAGCTCGCGACATTTCGCCAGCAGAGAGAGGCAAAAGCAAATTTTTTTCGGTCGGTCGATTCGAAAAAAAAAAAAAAAAAGATTGAGCAACGAATCGAAACAAAATTTCCTCGTGTCGCGCGTGCAACACGAGGCCGCGCGACACAGGGGCTGGCAAAGTTTTCGCTACCCTCTACGAGAAACCTACCCCAATAATCGAATAAATTTAGAAACCTAATTTGCACACGGGACAACGCCGTGCAACATTGGCCTCGATCGATCCGACATTCAAATCAGCGGACCACTGTGTTTGTCACTTTTTTTTTTTTTTTTTTTTTTAAAGCCGGATCGCGTTTCTCTGTTTTCAGTCACAGAGACTTGAAGCCTGAGAATTTGTTGCTGGACGAGAAAAATAACATCAAGATAGCGGATTTCGGGATGGCGTCGCTGCAACCTGCCGGCTCCATGCTAGAAACCAGCTGCGGCTCTCCTCATTACGCCTGTCCCGAGGTTATTCGAGTAAGTCTCTACTCCAGCCTCTAATCTCGACCCTTCGAACGTTTATTTGAACTCCGTTGAAGTTGCACAGCTCTGAACGTTCAGAAGAGAAACGAACGATCAGTGTACCGTCTTTTCTCGACCTTCTCCAGCTTATTTACCCTCCCCGGATACGAATTATTATTTCTCGCCCGTTTTAGCCGGGTGCCTGTTGCTCTCGGCTGATTTAATTAACCACCTGCGCTGGCAACTGACTGCGGACCATAACGAGTGACCAAAACCGTATACAATAATTCGTCTTCTTTTCGAATTCATCGGTATACATTACCAAGAAGCAATAAATTGGTGATTTGTTTTGCCTTGGGTTATACTTATAATATACGTAGAACTGGAGGAAATATTGCAATTTTGGGACAAAAATATGGCACGTCATTCCAGCGCAAGAGGTTAAAAGGGAACGAGAAATAGCAGAGTAACTGCGCGTATTTCCTTTTCTTTTTCTTTTTTTTTTTTTTTTGTTTTTTGCAGGGTGAGAAATACGACGGAAGGAAGGCGGACGTTTGGTCGTGCGGCGTGATACTTTACGCGCTTCTGGTAGGCGCGTTACCCTTCGACGACGACAACCTGAGGAAATTGTTGGAGAAAGTGAAACGAGGCGTGTTCTATATACCGCACTTCGTGCCGCCCGAGTGTCAGAATCTGCTCAAGGGGATGATCGAGGTCGATCCGGACAAGAGACTGACGGTAAGGCACGTGCGATCGATCGATCCGATCCGATCCGATCCGATCGATGGATTCGCGAACGCATCGTTGGCCCGTTCAACCGAGAACGTTGCACTATAATCTAAGACTGGAGGCTGAACGTTGCACTATAATCTAAGACTGGAGGCTGAAGTATTAATCGAAACGATTAATCGTGCCAGGAAATGTTTTAGGTCCCATGTTTAACCGAATGGTTATTTTTAGGTTAGGTTTAGATCCTGTTAGGTTAAGTTTTAGGTCTGAAGCTTGCTTTTCTAAGTGAAATCATATATTTTTTTAAATATTTTATTCGATTATTAATCGAAATGATAAAATATTAATCGAAACGATCCAGAAATGTTTTAGGCCCTATGTTTAATCTAATGGTTATTTTTAGGTTAGGTTTTTGTTAAATGTTTGAAGGTCAAGCTTACTTTTTAAGCGAAATCATATATTTCGAATATTAATCGAAACGACTAATCCTAACCAGAAATGTTTTAGATCCTATGTTTAACCTAATAGTTATTTTTAGGTTAGGTTTAAGTCTTGCCGTTTTAGGTCTGAAGGCTTGCTTTTCTAAGTGAAATCATATATTTTTTAATATTTTATTCGATTATTAATCGAAATGATAAAATATTAATCGAAACGATCCAGAAATGTTTTAAGTCCCATGTTTAATCTAATGGTTATTTTTAGGTTAGGTTTTAATTAAATGTTTGAAGGTCAAGCTTACTTTTTAAGCGAAATCATATATTTAGAATATTAATCGAAACGATTAAGCCTAACCAGAAATGTTTTAGGTCCTGTTTAATCTAATGGTTATTTTTAGGTTAGGTTAGATCCTGTGTTTTAGATTTGAAGGTCAAGCTTGCTTTTTTAAGTGAAATCATACATTTTTTAATATTTTATTCCAATATTAATCGAAACGATTAATCGAGAAATATTTTAGGTCCTGTGTTTAATAATGGTTGTTTTTAGGTTAGGTCTAGGTCCTATGTTTTAGATTAAATGTTTGAAGGTCAAAGTTGCATTTTTAAGTGAAATCGTATATTTTTTAACACATTATTCGATTTTACTCTATAAAAAATGTATTAAACCATTCTCTATAAACAAAAAAAAAAACTATCAGTTCAAGAAATATTTTAATTAAAATGTGACACTTGTTCAAAGTCGAATTTCTTTGCTCACTGTCAGTTTCATATTCTTCAGATAGCGTTTTGTTTCCCAGGTTATCTCCGTTCACCAAATTTAAATCCTCGTCTTTAAATCCTCGTTCTTGAACTGATGGTTTTTCAACAAATAATTAAAATATCTCCTGAATTAATAGTTTTTGCGTTATAAACGATATAATACTTTTTTTTTTAGAGCTGTAATCGATGTATTAAAAAATATATATTTTCGATATCATTTTGTCTGAAATATTCCTTCATACAATTAATCGTTTCGAGAATGCTGCAACATCTAGTCTTAACTGACTCACCCGGTACATATTCAATTTGGCCAACTCCGAGGATCCATCGATTTCATCTTTATCGGCCGGCCAAACTCGAAAGACTTACCACCCTGTGGGCCAGAAGTTCGAAGAAAGGTGCGACGCAGGTGCGACGATCTTCAACTAATTTCGAATTTCCTCAGCTGGCGGAGATAAACAGGCACGTGTGGGTGACGGCAGCGGGCAAAGGCGAGCTAGAGTTAGAGCTGTCGATGATGGACGTGGTGCAGACGCACGTTATTCCGTCCGTGGAGGCGATCGATCCCGACGTATTGCAAGCGATTGCGAGCCTAGGCTGCTTCAAGGAACGGGACAAACTGATCCAGGAACTCCTCAGCCCGAAGTATGACAATCCCTTTCGATTTCGTCTCTCGTCATTTAAATCGCCAGTGATTGAACTTCATCGCTTTAACGCTAGAACCACCGTTTGGCGATTAAAACTTCTTCGTAAAATCAGAGATGTTTAAGAAAGAAAAAAAAAAAAAAAAAGAAACAGGAGACTTTATAATACACGAACTTTTATTTGTACATATATATTATTTTATCATTACATTTCATTTTATATATATATTATTTACGAAAAATCATTTAAATCTCTACAAAAATTAGACAAGTTTCCAGCCGTTCTCACTCTAGCGTGTGTGTTTCGTTTCGGTGCAGTCACAACACGGAGAAGGTGATATATTTCCTACTGCTGGAGAGGAAACGGAGGAGACCAGCGTGCGAGGACGAGCTGGAGGTGATGAGGGGAGGCATGAGAGGATCCGCGGGACAGTTGGAAGCGGATCCACCGAGAAAGCGAGTCGACACGTGTCGAGTGAACGGCAGCACCGCCCTGAATCTCGGTGAAATTAGCCACGGTTCTCCCTTAACGCCTCGAAGACAGTCGAGGTAAGCACCGGCCGAATCGAGCGCGTGGCAAAGTGTCAAACGCCGCCAGGTTGAACGACGAAGCCGCGCCTCGATCTCCCCCAAGCGTTCAAGTTCACGATCGCGTGACCGTTCGTCGTGATCGCTCTCTCGACGCCAATGCATCGCGTGTACTACCCATCTATACTATACCATTTTTTTTTTCCTCTTCTTTCCGCTCCCTCGCCAGCGCCCTCTGCCACGTGCGACTTCCGCTCGAACGATTGACTCTAATCAAAAGCGTCGCACGTCGAGTCTCGAATGCCCCCGGAAACACGATGGAACGCCAAACTCGCGAAATCAACGTATCACCTGGTCCGAGCTGCGGCTTCCAGATCTATCCTGGAATATATCATTCTTCGAGCTATAAATTCTAAACTGCAAACGCCCCCGCGGGATCATCGTTGCAGCAACGTTTCGCACAGTTTCGGGACGTTTGAGCCACAAATCAATTTCTTTTCCCTTTTTTTTTTTTTTAAAGTAAACTGAACGATATCTTTCTTTCGAGAATTTAACGGAGTTTAATATGAAATTCAGATTTTAATTTCAACAAATTTTCGCGCTCTAAAGAAAAAGCTCTATGAAATATGCGATTTTTCACTCAAATCGTAAAATTGCCCGAAAAGAAAATGACAAGAAAGATAATCAAACACAATGGTCAGTATAAATAATCGTCTAACAAAGTTTTCGTTTCTAACGGAAAAATTCGTCTTTCATTCGCACACGAAGGATCATTTTCGCAGTTAGTTACTCGTAAACCTAACCTAATACCAAAATATGGGATGGTCACTGAAAGACTGAATGATATAAAACAAAAATAACTTTTACAAACACATTTTATTATTTTTTATTTGGAAATCTAATTCATGGATTTTTTTCAATATCATGCATGGCAAACGACATCCCTCAAATGACCACCATTTTCCTGCTCGCAAATAAAAATGATTGAGAATGAACAAGCAATGACTTTTTCAAACCCTTCGGTTTTTCAGTAGCCACCGTGTACTCTGCCCTAAATAACCTAACCTAATTAGATCTGTCAGCCTTCTCTTTAACGATCACCTCGGAATTTCCTTCGTCTCTCTTCTTGCAGCACCAGGCATCACGCTCGTCGTTCGCCAAGTACTGGATGCCACACGCACGCGTCGCATTCGCACGCGTCGACGCCAGGTAGCTCGCCGCTGCACGGCTCGAACGCGGTCGCGGGGCTGCTCAGTCCTCACAGGGCCCCTCCGCCGACTTCGCACCTAGGCCAAACGATAAGCCCCCACCGGCTGTCGGCGGTAACGACCGCCGCGGGAAACGGAAACACCAGCACGCCATCTGTCGTGGCCCCTGTCCCAGCACTGCCCAACGTCGGGATAGAAATAAACGACGTCCAACAGGGTGAGATTTTCGCTATCCTTTTCCTTCCTCTGCTTTCACACAATAACATTTTAGCGAATCAGATCGAATCAATTTTATGAGATTCCTTTCTCGCTCGCGAGAGTTGAAATTATAGTAGCGTGTCTTGGATGATCGGAGGATGGTCACGTGACGAGTGTTTGAAACAATTGACGCACTTTATCGGTCGGTAATTGGTGGCGCGTCAGTCGATTGACGAATTTTCTACGAAAGTTTCACGCCTCGTCGATCGAAAGAAATATTTGGGGTATATTCATAAATGTATAATGTTTTTTTCAATAAACATTTAGTGACAATAATTTAAATAAAATAAAATTTTGCATATTATCAAAAAAACGTATGTACAATAGTCCTCACTCGTGACTGAAAGCAGACGTTTAAGTGTGCAGGTGTATTCTGTGAACTTTTTCACTAATCCAAGCACCGATATCATTATCATATACATGTATATCGCTTGTTTTCTGTGCGCAAGTATGTAATGTTTTACACGGCCGCATGATAAAGTAGCGTAGAGTGGGGATAAGTCCCAATTCCAAGAATTGGTGCGGATAGCGACAGACGCTTAACTGAGAAACTTTGAAAAAAAAACAAAGGTCATTTTATGATGGCCACCATAAAAATGCCCTCCTCCAAGCAACGTAAGGATCTGAAACATTTTTCCCCATAACGGATAATTTAATAGAAAATTGCGTGGGACACCCGGTATATAAGAAGACTGTCTTTCAGTCTCTTCTAAACCAGACTTGCTGTCTTCCAAACAAGATGCTTTGATTCGAAATTAGAGAAGATTCGTTCCAGAACGTAGTGAAATGACACGTAGGTAAATCTAGCTGAAACGAGACAAATACCCCGGTGTCCAGGGAATTTATACGGGGTGAACCGACGAACAAAAGCTTGGACCATCGGGGACCCTCCCCCCCCCCCCCCCAGCCGACGTCTGAGTGCGCGTTTCATCTTGCCAGAAAGGGTTAATAGCTGAGGCGGTTTTAAAAAATGCAGGTGACCTCCGCGCTCATGGCACGTAACGAGCTCACCGCGTACGAATCATTGTTAAAAAGACACGACGCGGCTGGACACGCCTACTTGCGCGCGCGCGCGCGCGTTTGTGTATTTACATTCGTCGTCGACGATCCTCCGCCGCGTGACACGTTCGTTTCGTTTCTTTCTTTCCTCTCGTTGCAACAGAAACGCGAAACGGAAGTAACAGAAGTATCAAAAACCCTTCATCCAAATCAGTATTTTTCGAATATTTTGACACACTGTACGCGGGAAATCTATTGACACGTTTTTACAATATCGTTGGTCGCGTAATTCTTTCTTTTTTTTTTTAAATAAACTGATAGAGTAAGACCACTTGTACTCTTTTACATTAAAATTTCATAAATGTTTATAAACCTAACTTAGAAAAATTTTACAGTCCACGATGCATTGAAAATAACAAAATTACAGAATTCCAGCGCGAGTGCCGCGTGGAAGTATGAAAATTTTGACGATAAATGATGCAAATCATCACAACGATTTCATATTAAAAATAAAGTTCAGATAGAGGAGGCTCCACTGTATTTGTACACAGTATAGTTGTGAGTTTGCTTTTTAAAATTGGCAACCCCGCCATTTTGATTTCGTAATTTGTCGATAAGGTGATTTGTCGGTAAAGCAAACAACAAAGTAAAAATAACTGTTTCGACGAAAGATGGGTCCAGCAGGCCCGTTGCGAGTTCTTCTCTCTCGCGTTTGCTTCTCAATTACACTGCGAGGCGCGACGCGAGCGGTAACACGCATAAAGAATTGTTGGTTTCACAGTAGTTGCGGTCGGCGTTACACCGCCAGGCTCGCCGCACACTGGCGCTGGTTCTAGCGCTCATCACTGGCGATCGAGATTGACCACCATCAAGAACTCCTTCCTTGGAAGTCCCCGATTTCATCGACGCAAGTTGCTCACGAGCGCCGAGGAGGTGCGTACTCTTATCTGTACATTTTCAACCCTTTAAACTCGCACGTCACACGCTGCAACAGATGTGACTATACAATACAATACTTGCTATAAATTTTGATAAAATGTTTAAAAAATGATCGCACTTTGAGAAATTGTAAAAAGCAAATTATATTGCAATGATAATAATAAATAAATTAGTAATTTATTTAATTATTATCACAATTTAGTCATTATCATTATAATGATTATAATCGTCCCGAAAATCATCACACATTGAAAAAAAATAAATATTAATTATATAATAATAATGAATAAACAAGTACGAAACATTGAATTTCATCGTTGTGATTTACCTAATTTGCCTTAAAATAAATACATAAATATAAAGGCGCGCAACGAGTTCAAAGGGTGAAGTCAGAAAGATAGAGTTAACTTCTTGCGCTGGAATGACGTGCCACGCACGTCGAGAATTCTTTGTCCCAAAATTGCAATATTTCCTCAGTTTCAAGTATATTTGAGTGTAACCCAGGCAAAACAAATAATAAATTTATTACTTCTCAATAATTTCTATCCAGAGGTAGAGATATCGTACCGACGAAGTTCAAAAAAAAAGCGACGAATTACTGTATACGGTTTGGTCACTCGTTATGGTCCGCAATCAGTTGCCAGCGCAAGTGGTCGAAAGGTTAAGCGCACGTCTCACTCGGTTTTCACACGCAGGTGCATCTCACGCCGGATTCTTCCCCGGAACTTACAAAGAAATCGTGGTTCGGTAGCCTGATGACCACGGAAAAGGACGAAACGTTCACGATTCTGGTGAAAGGGAAGGCGCTGGCCAGCGTCAAAGCCGATCTGATTCACGCCTTTTTGTCGGTAAGCATTTCGAAAACAAAAACAAAAACAAAGAACTCAATGCGCTACGCTCGCCCCGCGGGTCCACGTAAAAAAGCAAGCAAGTTTCGATCAACAGATAGCGGAGCTGTCCCACAGCGTGAGCTCGCCGATGTCCTTCAAAGTGGAATACAAAAGAGGAAGCACGGCGCCGGCCATGTTCCAGAGACAAGTCCGTTTTCAAGTCGACATTAGCACCATATCGAAACAACCGAACGAACTGTTCGCCATTACCTTCACTCTACTGAGTGGTAAGCACGGACCTCGCATTTCCAAATACTGACAACACTCGAGTCACTTCGCATTTCCAAATACTGACAACATTCGGGCCACCGCGCATTTCCAAATGCTGACAACATTCGGGCCACCGCGCATTTCCAAATGCTGACAACACTCGAGCCACCGCGCATTTCCAAATCATGACAACACTCGAGCCACCGCGCATTTCCAAATACTGACAACACTCGAGCCACCGCGCATTTCCAAATCATGACAACACTCGAGCCACCGCGCATTTCCTAATACTGACAACACTCGAGCCACTACGAATTTGTTCCCCTGCCGACGTTGAATAATTCCGAATTCACGCGCAACGAATTTATTTGCGAAATAAAAGTAACTGAAAGGACGAAGGCAAGGGTGGATTCGATTGGCAATGTGGCGGCGGCGTTTGCCGTCTGGCAATCGTCCAAGCGCAACTAGATCGATGTTACCCGGCTCGGTGAGCCGAGTGTTTTGCCTTATCGTCCTGTCGTCGCATGCACGTACTACGTGGCACGTGCAATTTCGAGTCGCCAAGTCCGTGGTTCGTCGCTCGATTGAACCCCACCGATCGTTCCATCCCGATCCATTGTATATTCTTTTCCTTATCTTTCCAGGAAACATCCGAAGATTTCGAAGGGTGTGCGAGCACATTCAGTCGCAGGTCTGCTCGAGAAACGTAGGAATAAATTTGGGGGGGCAGAACCGTGGTGCGGCGCCGCCGAGTCCGCGAGCGTCCCGGAAATTCACCACGGAGATGAGCGAAAGTTCCAGCTGCGGGAGCGACACCAGCGAAAGGTCGTTTCTCAGCCCGCACCCAGCTACCAGACAGGTAGTCTGTTTCAACAAGGTAGTGCATCATCTTCCATTCCCCGACGCGCCATTATTTCCGCCCGTAATTCTTTCCTAACGCTCGAAAAACGGAGTCCGACTGCAAAAGGTGAAGGACGTTCAACATCTCACGTTTCATCCGGATGTTTTTTCACTCATCATCGATATCGTCATAGATCTCGCCACGCATAGAAAATAACGGATCGACTGTGCACGTAATATACAGGGTGGTCCATTTAAACGAAGCTACCTATAACAAATATCTTTTCGAATTGCGACGATGCGAAAAATATTTCTCGCCTAACACGAGTGGTATCGAGAAAAGCTAGGAAAAAAATATTTTTTTTTTTTTTAGTGCAGCTGGTAAAAGAATACATTCGGATATATATAGAGAGAGAGAGAATATAACCTTAAAATGACCTTAAAATATGTGTAGAGAATATAACTTTAAAATGACACTGATGTCCAAAAATTTAAGCTTTTCTTTGAAATGATTGCTGCAAACCCCACCGAGAAAGATGCATACGATTTACAAGATTTGTTTCGTGAGGCTCTCGATACAGAGATAAATGATACTAGTGAAGTTCTTCTCTTTTCAATATCCGTATTAAGTGCTAGTTTTAGAAATTCTCACACTAATGATAATTTTAGAATCACATGTGGATTTTCGTTAATTCTAGCTGCAATATTTTCTATATTTCTTTCGTTATTAACAGTTTTAGTTTCCACACGTTTTTTCACGACACTGCCAATTTCAAAATTTGATGAAAATTTTTTACCACCTCTGCACATGTATTTCGTAGACGGACAATTACGATTGGGAAATGTACCTTTGTACACTCGAACTGCTTCTCTCAAACACTGGTCGCTTTTACCACAAATGAATATCGTATCGATCTTTTCTCGCGTTGAGTATTCCATTGTCCACAAATGTCTGACAAATTTCAATACGCTGACCGGAATTTCATCAAGTTGCCAGAAGAGATTATTATTGACAATGTAATAAATAATAAGCAAATTTTTTTTGGACATCTGTGTTATTTTAAGGTCGTGTTCTTTACGTATCGAAGGTATTTTTTTACAAGATGTAATAACAAAAAATATAAAAAAAAAATATATCAATGACTTTGAAAACTCCAGCAAAAGAAAATTTTTACGAGTTTGGGCTTTCGATATCACGCGAAAAATATTTTTGCATCGTCACAATTCGAAAAGATATTTAAGTAGCCTCACCTAAATAGACCGCCCTGTATATAAATATATATATAAATATAAAGGTACTGTCACACCTAGGTTTTTGGCGACATCTTTGTGAAAACAAACGATATATAAACAAAATCCATAGACAGTTTATTAAGGTAAATGTGCACAATTTCTAATAATGAATTATACAATAACGATGCAAGAAATATAAAAATTCGAAAATCAACAAGCGGGATTATGAAATACAGAGAAATTACTAAATATCCTTTTGCAAGTACTGAAATGTTACATCGAATGATATCGCATTAATAATGAGAAAGGACGCTTTTACGTCATATTTGGACGTCTTTAAACCGTTAAAATATTTTATATTCTGTTGACAGAGCTGGAAGAAAGATTCTTCAATTGTTAATACACTTTAATTATTTCTGTCATTATCGTATAACTCATTACTGGAAATTGTGCACGTTGCTCTTGTATATATAGTGAATTATTTATAAATTACAGATAATATATTCAATACAATATATTTCGATTTTATATTTCATATATAGATTATACATAGATTTTAGATTGTGTATTTAATATTTAATATTTAATATATTTAGATTTCGTTGATGCATCGTTCGTTTTCACAGAGATATCCCAAAGAAAATCAGGCGTGCCAATATTGTACATTAAATAGGTTAGATCAGGGCTTCTCAAACTTTTCCCACTTGGCAATCCCCTTTACCCGAGCAAATATTTGACTCTGGGTATAGAAGTATATGAATTAAATCATTTGCTGATGAAAGAAAATTTATTGGAAAACAATTCTTTGGTATACGTACGAAATATAATTTTACCATGTTCCAAAGGCATAGCCAAATATTGATACTAATTTTTTAGTTTCGCTAAAATTTACTTACGCGACCCACATTTTGAGAAGCCCTGTAGGTTAGATGCAAATAGTCAAGTAGCCGCTGGCACGGTAGCAAACCTATCACAAAGAAATCCATTAGACGAAGCAAAGTGATTTTTCATTGTCAAAGAATAATTGATTTGTTTCGTACTGAGTATTTACAGAGTGGGCCAAAAATCACTTTCTACTAAAATAAATCCACAATTGTTTTATTACATATTTTTTCAACAAATTTTATTGTATTTCATTTATTAATTTTATTTTTTATTTTCACGTTTGAATTTAAATTTAATTTAAAATTAACAAAATTAGTTTCTTTATACTTTGACGTTTTGTTAAAAAAAAAAAAAAAAAAAAAAAAAAAAAAAAAGGGGGGAAAAAAAAAAAAAAAAAAAAAAAAAAAAAAAAAAAAAAAAAAAAAAAAAAAAGAAAAGAAAAGAAAAAAACGAAACACGATGCTCAACGTCCGCCCGGAAGATCGCGCGCTCCCCTGGAAATGTAATTTAGAAGAAACGCAGCGAGAAGAGTCGCTCTTATCCTGGCACAAAGGCCTGGGACGGATGTGATAGAATAGCCGTGAAATCGGCCGGAATTGGCTTTTCGGTTTCCTTGTTCCAACGAGGTGGTTCTCGTTTTCTTTCTCAACGAGCTTCCACCCTCCGCGCCTCGAGCGTGCCTAATATTACCCGACGTCCTCCCACCCCCGTGGTTGTTGGATGTTGGACGTGAAAGAAGAGGAGAAACACGCGATTGCGGGCGAAATTTTCGTTGCGAATTACGAATCACGGGCGGCGAAGGGACCGGAGGTTGAAAGAAACACACGCCGGGGCGAGTAATAAAACTGTCGGGACGAATTCGCGATGCGTGAGCGAAGGGATGAATAAATAAACGAGCCCCACCCCTCGCTGGCTAACTTTTAAACTCCAGCCCGGCGAAATTAGATTTGCCCTTGTTTATTTTCCAAGAAGACAGTTTATATCTTTGCCAGCGAGGACGAAGGCAAACAGAAGGAAGCCTCTCCGTCGTGCTTTAGTCGCGGAAAGGGGAACACAATCGTTTCAATCGCCGCGGAAACTGCGGCATCGTGGTGTAAAATATGAAGGCGAAAATCGTTTCACGTCGTCTCTCCCCTTTGCAATTGTTTACCCCCGATTCCATGAATTCCAGTTTTCGATGTTGGACAACGACGTTTTGTAAATCAAATGTTCGCTCATCGACCCTCTTTTCGTTTTCTTTTTCCTGCGGCTTAAAGTTGTATTGGATCGGATTGAAAAGTAATTAAGTAAGTTTCTCTTACGTGATTATATTATTTACTATTTATATATCTTGTCGGCAAAATATAGAATTAATAGGATATTTTATTGGTAAATATCTCTCCGGGATCCGCGACTGGAATATCTAGATGAATACGTTTCCCATTTCTGTTTTAACTGCATGTATTAGTTTATACTGTAATTATAGTGCTATGATATCGTAATTACTGCCCGCGACAGGTAATTACTGTCAAACGTGAAAATTGGATTAAACTGGATTGAATTTCTTGTTTGAACGTGTTTAAAAACATAGTTGATGTAGATCTTCATTAACACAAAGATAGAAAGAGCAATAAACACATTCCCTCTCGCAAATTATTCGCATTCAAGTACTCTGCTTCGCACGCCCAGGAAATTTTGGATAATAACGAGTCTTTTGTATTGTCTTTTGCAAAAGTCAGGATCCCTGTAGTTTTTACTGCATTTGAACTTAGTAGTTTTGAAATATTTGAGAAAGTGTCTTAATGCTTCTGAAAAAGCTGTTAATAATAAATCTGAAGAAACTATTTAAAAAAATGACGAAAAAATACGTTTCTTCTTAAATGTAACAAATGGTTTAAACAAATGGTTCTCTTTTGCAAAATGGTGTACACCAATGAATACTAATTTCATCAATTTATAGTAATTTTCGAGATATTTAGATTCCAGAGCCCCAAATTTCAAGTTAGTTTGCAGTTGTTCAACATGAACGATTAAAAAAAAAAAAAAAAAAATGACGAATACACGTAAAATATTCTCTTTGATATGGATGATTGTCGATGAAAAAAAAAAGAGCAGATATTTGTCAAAACACTTTAAGGCAAATTTGATCAAAATCGGTGATTGACACTTCGGCGTGCCTTCGCCTCGTCGGAGGCTTTTCATAAAATCCACGCCTCGCTCCTTTTTTTTTCTTTTTTTTTCTGAACTAATTAAAAAGCGCCAGCTCGCTCGAAAAGCCACGAAGTTCTTGCCCTGAAAGAAAAAGACCGCGAGAACAGGCAAACTTAGCCGCCAATTTACGGTACTCTCGAGGAACCTCGTTTAACTTTCAATTCGCCCGAAATCGTTGCTCAGAATCATTCGCGAAACGAATTTTTAATAAAGAGTTGGGCGGCTCGATTCGTGCGCGGACGTTCTTACATCTCGAGTGTGTTGCACGTACGGTGAATAATGGATGTCGATAGCAGCTAGCGAGACAATGAAAAAGGAAGCGCGCGGCCATTTTGTGTGACTTGTAGTCTTGCGAATTCAGCATATGATATGGGAAAACGTCAAAGAAAGAGACAGCAATTCACCGTTACCGTAACGTCGTAACGTCAGGAAATTTTTAACGACGGTTGTCGGGTCGTCGTTTATCTCTCCCTATCGTGCAACAACGAATGAAATTCATTTTCCAGTACGATTTCGTACAGATGGTATTGAGCGGCACGGCCTCGATAGATTCGCGCGTTTCGATTGCCGAGTGTAACGAAGTGGGGCTCCGTTGATACGCCGCCGGTGAATGTTACAGAATGGAAAAGTAATGGTCCGGAAAATTAACAGAGGAAACTAAGAAAGAGGCAAGGAGACGTCTCTCCGTCTCAGCCATTCTTCTCTATTCTCCCACGCGTTCCGCCGTGTTTTTACAGAAATTTCTTCTCTCGCCCGATCATTCACTGCACGTAAGGGATAAATCTAGTAACCG